TTGGGAAATACATACTGTAACTGGGGCTCAAACTCCTGTTACTTGTCAGCAAAGCAAGAGGGCTAACTGGTTGGTGAAAAGTGCAGAGGGCAGCCTGCAGGCTGGTAGGCAGGCAGGCTACAGAGTAGTAAGCCTGAAGATAGACAGTTAGCAGTACCTGGGCCCTCACAAATTGTATGAGAGGGTATGCATGGGGAGGGGGTCAGGCAACCAGAAGGAGGAGTCAATGGGTATATAGGCCTGGCTCTTGAGAGAGAAGTAGCTCTGCAAGGATAGTCTCATGTAGAGATAAGTCACATATTTATTATTTCAAGTTTTGAGTCAAGGAGTGGCTAAAGGGAGTAGGGAGAGCACCACGCATTCCCATGGGGAGAGACTAGAGAGAGGCAGATAGAACTGGTACCTAGAACCAGCCAGAAAGCCTTTTTCAGGATCAGAGCTAAGAGACTGGGCTGCACTGACTACCCACTGATGAGTTGGGTGGAGTGAAGAACCTCACAGTGCACTCCAGTATTATGAGGGCAGCCTTCCAAACTTAATTTCCAGCAAGATGTGGCAGGCAGTATCAGGATGGTACCCTGAGAGAGACAAGATTAGTGGTTGCTAGGGCATGCCACAGCCTCCATGAGAGGCATGTCCTGTAACACATACTATAAACTGTTTTTTTTCTTGTACTATCAACCTTTTTTATAGTCATGGATCAATGACCTAATTTTTACTTCCAATATGTTGATAACTTCAAAACATTTCCTCTGTTTTCATATTTGATTGTATCCTCTCAATGATAAAAATGTACCAGTCATAAAAGTCATCTTCTTTTCATTTCTATTTTTCTGTGGTTTTGAGAATACCAACAAGTCTTTTGGATTTTTTATTGAGGCCTATTGTTACCTGCTGTTATTCCTTCGTGGCTGGCTTTTTCTGCCATCCAGGAAGTTAGTGTCAGAAGATGCTTTACAGAATGACCCTAACTATGGAGGTATGTTAGAGAACATGGTAGCAAACCTCAGTCTATCAAAATAATGAAACAAACGCCCTCACCATGGCCAAAGCACCATAACAAGCAGCAGCAGAACTGAACTTGGATCACCTTGAAGTTGTGAAAGCAGCTATAAGATTAGTGGTATAATAGAGGCTGGTGAGAGTCAAGGCAGGACTTTTTTTTCTCCTCCATCATGGCACCAGATCCAGCTCCTGGATCCAGCATTCTATTCTCTACCTACAGAGGGACATGACATGGGGCAAAAACACTGGTTGGAAAAGACAGTAGGTTGCATAAAACTCCTTATAGCACCCATCTGCATCCAAAATGTGGTGTCAGTAATCTCTCTCCACTGCATAACAGACATTTCATGATAGCGCCTTATGCAGTTATTCCTGTAACTTAAATTACAGCCGTCTGTGCTGTGATGCTGAAGGTTCTGTATTCACACAGAATGTATGTTACCTGTTGCAGTTGTAATTTGATTTTACTCCTTTTCCCTTAAGAAATCCTGTAGGGAATTATATTTGGAGTAAAATTATAATGAAACAAAGTGTTAATCTGTCGGTACAATCTTATTGTTTCCTCTTGTATGTAAGCTGTATGACAGTTTCTAATCAGATGATCACATATGACCAGTTTCATGGGATTTGTGTTGGATGCAGAAGGAAGAAAAACTGAGGTTGGATGGACAAACAGTAATTCTGGCATTCCCTAGCTTCTGTGTAGTTGCTTGCAACCTAACAATTTTACATTGTAAATTTGATAGTATAATTATAGTATAAAATTGATAAGTTGCAGGCAACTACACAAAAGCTAGGGAATGCCAGAATTACTGTTCGTCCATCCATCCCCAGTTCTTTTTCCTTCTGCATCCAACATGTCCCATGAAAATGGTAGTATGTGATCATCTTATTAGAGACTGTATAATATTTTGCATTACAGAAGTGTTTCCAAAATAGCATAGTTTGAGAGAGCACAGCGAGTGATAATGGAAAAAAAAAAATCAGAATAGTACATTGTATATAGTATTTTTAATTAGAGGATATCAGAGTACTTTTAAACCTTATTTAACTAATCTTCGTAATGCCTCTGAGAGAGAGCCTAGTACATGCCTTGTATGTCTGAGTTTGTAGAGATTATTGAATGCAGATTCCCAAGGAAGCTTTCTGTAATAAAAGAGGGATGTTTTAAGCCTAGAAATGAAGGCTATACATAGAGGAGCAAAAGTAGAAAAACCTGGAGAACCAACATATCCACCCTTCCCTACTTAGCAGCTTTGACCTAAATATGCATTAACTTGTTTCTCTATTAGGTCAACACAGTTCTCTACAGCAATTATCACATTGCAGAAACCCATGCAGTTTGTGTTTCTAGCACTTATGTAGACTTAATTAAGGGTAGAAAAAGACCTAAATGGTTGCGAATAATTATTCTATATATAATTTGCCATCTAGGTACATGGCTGATTACTTGCTATAAGGAATTTAGAGTTCACTAAGTGCTTCTGTGTCTCTGTTATTAATACAAAATGCCATTTTAAAACACCAACTGCTGACTCCAGACACTTACTAAAAGTTAGCCCTTCACTGCTTAGTAAATTTAGCTTCCTGAAGAAAAGTCTTTATATTCCCTATAGATTCTCTGTTAATTTAATAAGAAGTTGAAAACTTTTGAAGGAATTCATTAAATGGATGGGTCTTAAGTAATTCTTGTTTCTACTTCTAAATTCTTCTTCACTACAATATAGTGTCATCTTTTATTTATAGCAGAACAAAAAAAAACTGACAGGGAATTTACTTTATTTGTAAACTCATTGTTTATTTGCAACTTAAAATCAAAGTGCAGAACAGGGCTATTTTATGCTCAGTTAGGAAAGCAATGTTAAAATAAGGAAGATTGTTCTTCTCATTAAAACACAGTCCTGAGATTCAGAAGGCACAAATTTAAATGCCTTGCATGTACACTAAAATCGCTGTTATCCAGTACTTCGCCACCCAGAATACCTTATTAACCAGAATTTCAGAGCCACGCTGCACTGCTTTGCCTCCCGCTGTGCTGCAGAAAGCGGCGGAACACACATGGCGCTGCACCACTTTGCCTTCTGCTGCACCATTTTCCTGTCTGCTGCACCACTTCTGAGGGTAGATGCGCACAGTACCCGACTGTGTGCAAGTAAAATTCCTGATAACTGGAATTTTTAGATAACTGGCGCCACCCATTCCCCACTCATGCCAGATAACAGATTTTACTGCACTTTCTATGCAAATTTAACTCATTTGATTTTTGTGCTTCAGTTCCCCTATGAAATGGGCATAACATTACTGCTTTTTTCAAACACTTTTTATGCCTAGCCTATTGAAATTTTAAGTATGGAGCAGGGGGGCAAAAATTCCCTCTAATTGTGTAATCATGCAATTTACAGTATATTGAAACCCTGATCTCAGCTGAATATTGAAAAAACCTCCAGGTTGTATGATAGTTAGAGACTAGTGCCATTTTTTTCCCAGTGCCATTTTTTTTTTAAATTTGATGAAAAAATTGAATTCAGGAGGACCAAAACTATTAGTGTATGAGTGAAGTTGCAGCTGTGATGGTCCAAAAATTATTTTAGAGGCAAGGTGACCTAGCAAAAAAATTCTTGCATTTGAAAGCTTGTCAAACTGTGTCCCAATTACATAGCTGGTCCAATAAAAACTATCACCTTAAGAAATCATATAATTCAGAAACTATTAGTGAATTTGAGTGATATATTAGGAATAATTTTTGCCAATAAAAACAAGGACATTTTTAAAAGGGTTCAAACACTTTATAACAACATTTTCCGAAAGAGAAATTTCAGTTTGAAAAAGTCTAAATGTTTTTAAATTGGAAATTTAATTTTGTAATTGTCATATACATAAAAATCAATATGTTAAAAAGGACAAATAAATAACCTGCTGTTCAGATGTTTCATACTGGTCCAATGAGATAAATCAAACAAAACTAACATTTTTCTTGAAAAAAAATTAAACAATTTGGCTTAGATCAGTTTTTTAAAATAGTTTTGCTTCACCCTCAGAACCAAAAACCTGCCATCTGCACAAGTCTAGCTATATATGTGAAATAATAAGAACAATTCACTACTGATTCTCAACCTCTCTTTTTCATCATAGTGCATTCCCAGTAGGCAGTTCCCATTGCTGTGTTGTATCACTGCAAACTTTGGGGGCAGACAGACATTCACTTCCCTGCTCTAACTCATGGTGCTTTACATAAAGCACCATGAGTTACAGCACCACCCCCTCAACCCAACAGATGTTCGTCTGTTGGGTCAGGGGGAATCAAGCCTGCATGCCCTGGCCCTCTTGGCCGGCAGGTAGGGGCACCCCAGCAGCCTCCTTGCTGCCCCACTCTCCCAGATCCAGGGCTGTCAGCACGGGGAGGGGGAAACAGAGGGAGCTGGCTGGAGTTGGGGGGGAATAGAACAGAGCCCCCACACCTTGTGCCCTCCTCCCACCCCCTGCCAGGTATCCCAGCTGGGGAACTGGAGAGAACCAGGACAGGCCCATGAGGTGAGGGCGCTCTGTTCTACCCTCCCCCACCTCAAGCTCAGGTTTGGCAAAGCCGAGAAGGAGAAGTGAGCGGCACCGAGCTGCTGGCTTACCCAACCTGAGGTGGAGGGCAGGGGAACAGAGCCCTCTTGCCTCATTAGCCCAGCCCAGCATACCCCCAGCCAGGGTGCAAAAGTGTGTGAAGCCCAACATGCAGAAAATTAACTCTAGGAAACACAGTTTCCTGTAGGCACTCTAAAGCAGAGCACCCACATCTAATACTTCATTTGAGGAGGGTTAATTATCCATGCTATTGACTACTTAAAAATACTGCAGCCATGCATGTGTGTCACAGCATGACTATAGAGCACTTTCCTGAGCACACGCAAACAATTTAACTTGTATAAGCACCCTTACTTTTACTCTTTTAGTCCAACACTTGTTTTGCTAAGATTCTAGTATTTCACTATCATATTTTTTTGAAGACGCAGGGTGTTAGCCATATCAGATGGAATTGAACATATTGGGAATCTTCGCTGGGAATTGGCATTGTGTCTCCTTGCTGCTTGGACTATCTGCTACTTCTGCATTTGGAAAGGAACCAAGTCAACTGGAAAGGTAAGAGTAAAATTCTGTGTGTCATGTGATGTAAAAGATGTCTTGCAGTCTCCCACTATAAATGAAAACTAGAGATATTTAACATAGAGAGAAGAAAAGTAAGAAGATTCTTTCATACTCTAAGAAGAAAGCATTTAAATGTTTTAGGATTTATTCCCTCTTATGTTGCACAGTGGCCTGTCATTTACATTTGTCTAAATCAGAATGGTAGCATTTTACATCTGTCTTTTACTGCTATAAATGCCTATATTAGATGGAAGACATGGAGAATCAGTCCCATTTTGTTTAGAAAGTTGTGGTGGACATGATGTTCAAGTTATGTTTTGTCCTATACATTGTATTCTTTATAAAACTAGATAGATATAGTTCCCTGTTGTTATATTCATGGATAGTTTCTGAAATTGAGGCATACATGGCTTGTGCTGATTTTAGTGATGGTAAGGTAACATCCAATGTCTGAATTTGATTATAAATTCTAAGTTTTATGATCCCTCATGACAGCAGCCAAAATATACAAAGACACCCACAGAAATTAGAAATATAGCTATGCTTAGAAATATAATATTACGCCAAAACAAAATTAAGCTGGAAAAGTGCAGACTAATAAAAATCCACAAGATTGATATACAGTAAGACAGATGAATGTCAAAACCATTGAAAAGTAGTGATGGTCAGCAAATTAGATAAGGGCTTACAAAACTGAATCATGGAGATGCTGTAAAATAGCTGCTGCTTGTTTTTCTTCTTTTCCCTAGCAGCTACATATAGGAATGGGTGGAGTCCAATAAAAGCAGATCCAGGGGGGTAAAGTGGTGCAGTCACACTATTGCTTGGATTTTTGATCCACACAAGAGTAAAACTAATTGTCTGGAGAAACAATGGTTGCATTTCTTTTTACGCTGTGCTGAGGGAGTCAATTGACTTCATGACACGGGCTACATCATTCCTGTTGGTGTTCTTCATTTTATAAGTGTTAGTGACCCTGTCTCCCTTTTAATAATCTTGATGTTCCACTAACTAAGCTATCCTTTCCTTGACAGTGTTGCTGTCTGTCAGTTACTCCTGGTCTCTCCTCCTATTTCACTTCCCTGCAGACTGTTTTTTAGTACTTTTCAAAATTCAAGATTAAAGACCAGCACAAATAGTAGTGGTACAAATTTATGCCGCTACTTTGTGCCGCAGTGCATGGGAGGCCCAAAGCAAACCTTCCCCTGAAAAGGGCTGATCCGCAAGTAGTCAGGTTTTCCTCTCCTTCTATTTCTTTCCCCATTATCAAAGAGTCCATGACATTCCTACCAAAAACTTTACTGAAATCTATGTCTTTTAGAAACTGGTTATCATGAAATGGTGCATTTCATCAAGAATGTTCCAGTGAGCTCTACTTTACATGTTGGTTTTATTGATATATATTATTTACTATTCTAATATAATAGTCAAAACTAATTGAAACAATTCAATTAGCTGAAATCAAAGCTTTAGGAATGTTTGTTCTGCTGGAAACTGCACTTCCAGCTTTTATTCCAATTCAGAGGGGAAAAAAATAAATATTGGAATTTCCCCCCACACGGAAATTTTGCTTTCTAAACTCCTCTCTAGACATAAAACTACACTGATCTATGTAACCTGAGGATCTGACTCAGAGGGTAATTACCCAATATTTTGTTAGTATATCTGGTGTGGAAAGAAATTATTTCTCTTTGAGAGGCAGGGAAAAGAAGTAGTGGAGTTAGTTTGAAATAGCTGCATAGCTTTAAGATAATGCTAAGACATTTAAAATAGGCCTGTGCGAAGCTTCGGTCACCAATTTGATTTGGCCTGATTCGGTGGTCGAATCTCCAAATTGGAATTGAATCAGGAGACCCTTTAATCTCGCCGAATCAAATCAGAACCCTCCGAATCAATTCGGAGAGTTCAGAAAGATTAGATGATTCGGACATAGGCACAGCTTTAAATGTTTTTTTTCTATATACCTCAAGCTACCAGTTGGCTCATGAATGCTGAGATACTGGGGCGGATGGAGCATCCCACAGGAGTGTGGGGGGCTCACCAGTGTGCTTGGCAGCAGACCTGAAAGTAGACCAGAAGCATTTCTGGTCCACTTCCAGGTCCACCAGGGACCACATTGGGGCCCCCCCTCCACCCCCCAGCTTGGCGATTGGTGCCTCCTGGGTCTGGGAGGGCACCTGGGGTCCCCCCCACAGCTGATCGCTGAGCTGGGGGGGGTTCGGAGTGGGGGGCCCGGTGTGCTCGGTGGTGAACCTGGAAGTGGACCAGAAGTACTTCAGTATTCATGAGCCATGCCTGGTACCTCAAGGTATGTAGAAAAAATATTTAAAGCTGTGTCTATGGCCGAATTGCTGATTCTCTGAATCAGCATTGAATCTTCAGATTCGGATTTGGCTGAATTGAATCGGGACAGTGATCCGAGTCAGCAAATCAAATCACTGTCTCTGATTTGGGCCAGATCTGAATCTGAAATGAATATGGCTCATTTCACACACCCCTCATTTAAAAGGCAAACAAACACAACTTGTTTTGCTTTACAGGTGATGCATTACTTGTCAGAGAACTCAGTGGTGTGTTACATGTTCCCAAGAATCTGGGGCACCAATGATCTTATCTTATCCTGAAACCAATGCGAATGCTTATTAACAAAAATCTTAAACTTATTAAAATGCTATTATGTTAGATATAAAAACTGCAGAACACCTAACTGTAGTCTAAACCTGGCTCCACTATACAGTGCATACAAAGCACGCTTCACTGTTCTGCAAGTCCTTTGCCATGCAGTCTCTGCATGCAGTGAGATCATACATTCTCATGTTATAATAAAAAGCAATAATTCTGAAAGGGAGTTGAAAGAATCCTTAAGTCACCCCAAACAGGGAAGCTTCCTTACTTAGAGAATGAAAATACATCAGTAATCTAGAGAAGACAGAGGGGGAAAAAAAAATTACTGTTAAATGTATAAATGGTTCTTGACATTCAGACAAGCGAACAGCCATTTCAGGTTAACTGAAGCAGTTTGAAAAATCAAACTGCCAATATTTCCAGTCAATTTTTTTTAAATGCAAAAGCTAAAATATTTCAACATGTTCTAACTAAAAATAATGTTTTTGAATGAATGTTTATTTATAAATTTAGATATTTTTAAAATAAATGGATAAAAAAGTTTGAAAACAAAATGAAGCATCATATTTCAGGCAAACAAAATATTCCATTCATTCTAAAATGATTATTTTTAGTTATTAATTTGTTTCCCCAAGAAGAATCAACAAGAAGTACTTTTAAGCATACCTGATTTTTTTATTAAGATTTTCAGTTTGTCATCGGAATAAATCACCATATTTTTTTTTTTTTTTTTTTTTTTTTTTTAAACACCA